AAGTGCTGCTGCTGCTGCACCAGCTAACTACTGTAGTGCTGCTGCTGCTGCACCAGTTAACTACTGTAGTGCTGCTGCTGCTGCACCAGTTAACTACTGTAGTGCTGCTGCTGCTGCACCAGCTAACTACTGTAGTGCTGCTGCTGCTGCACCAGTTAACTACTGTAGTGCTGCTGCTGCTGCTGCTGCTGCTGGCTGTTTTGCTGCATCAACGCGAGTACACAGCGGGCTGCAGCAAGGCCGCCGTCCTCCTCAATATATGTTGCTGCAGGCTCTGTTGCCGCTGCTGCTGCTGCTGCTGCTGCTGCTGCTGCTGCCGTTGCTGCCCTGATTTCATTTGACAGCAGAAGTGCCGCACGCAGCAGCACCGGAGAGCCTGGACTCAGGCACGGGCGCAGAGTGTGTTGCTGCTGCAGCTGCTGCTGCTCCTGCTGCTGCAGCTGCTCCTGCTGCAGCTGCTGCTCCTGCTGCAGCTGCTGCTCCTGCTGCTGCTTATCGGCACTTGTTGCGTGGCTGTCTATGCTGACGGAGAAGAAGTCCCTCACCCCATCTGCTGCTTCAGCGACTTCCTGCTCCCCCTGCTGCTGCTGCAGCTGCTGCAGCAGCAGCTGCTGCTGCTGCTGCTGCTGCAGCTGCTGCTGCTGCGTCTGGCGCCGCTGCACCGCCGCTTCTTGGGCCGTGACAGCAGCTAGCGCGTCCAGCAGCAGCTCAGAAGCAGCAAACCCCAAACCTGCCTGCTGCATGCATTGTGTCACTTGCTGCTGATCGAACAGCAGCGGCAGCAGCAAATGAGCCACTCCCTTGCCAGCCGAGAACGTCGCAGCTGCGCAGCAGCAGCAGCAGCAGCAGCAGCAGCAGCAGCAAAGTGCAGCGCGGCACAGTCTGTATGCTGCTAGCGTTGTAACTGCAGCATCTGTAGTCAGGAAGCAGCAGCAGCAGCAACAGCAGCAGCAGCCGAAGACACTGCAGCACGAGCAGCAGCAGTTGCTGCTGCTGCTGCTGCTGTAACTTTAAACTAAGACATCTTGGGCTTCTTACCTGATCCAGCGCTGCCGTGGGATACTATGCAAACAGAGGGTGGGACCTTGTTCGTTGCTGCTGCTGCTGCTGCTGCTGCTGCTGCTGCTGTACCTGTTGCCGCAGTTTCTGCTGCGGGCGCTGCTGCAGCAACGCTTGTCACTGGTCCTTCGCCCCCCGCTGTTGCTGCAGGCTGCTGCTCTTGCCGCTGTTGCTGCTGCTGCTGCTGCTGCTGCTGCTGCAGTTGCTGCAGCAGTGCCGGAAGGTCGACTGGCGACAGCAGCAGCAGCACTTGGGCCTCCCTTTGCATCTCTTGGTTAAGGGCCCCCAAACCCTCAACAGTCCTCCGTGGGGGCCCCTCTGGGGGCCCCTCTGGGGCCCCCTCTGGGGGCCCCTCTGGGGGCCCCCCCGGGGGGGGCCCCCCTTGGGGGCCCCCGGGGGGCCCCCCTGGGGGGCCCCTTGCGAAGTAGCCGCAGGGGCAGTAAGCAGCAGAGGCAGCAATTAGCAGCACTCTGAAGACCCAAAACAAAAAGAGAGAAGTATAAAATGGAAAAGAAAAAAGAAGAAAAAGATGAAAAAGAAGCAAAAAAAGATCAAAAAAAAGCAAAAAAGAAGCAAAAAGGGATTAAAAAGAAGCAAAAAGATTTAAAAAGAATTAAAAATATTAAAAAGGATTAAAAAGAATTAAAAAGAATCAAAAAGAATCAAAAAGAATCAAAAAGAATTACCTGCGCCGCAGCAGCCGCCCAGTGAGGCCCAGCAGCGACAAGCAGCAGCAGCAGCAAGGCAGCAGCTGCAGGAAGCAGCAAAGCATGCTGCCCAGAGACACAATCACACAGGGGCCCCTTTCCGTGCTGCAGCTGCTAGCCGGCGTGCTGCTGCTGCTGCTGCTGCTGTTGCTGCTGCTGCTGCTGCTGCTGTTGCTGTTGCTGCTGCTGCTGCTGCTGCTGCTGTTGCTGCTGCTGCTGCTGCTGCCGTTGCTGCTGCAGAAGCTGATACGCGGCAGCAGCTCCAATACTGCGGCTTTCCGTCGACAGGCAGCAGCGGCTTGCTGCTGCTGCTGCTGCTGCTGCTGCTGCTGCTGCTGGTCTGTTTTACTGTTAGCTGCCAGGCCATTGTATGCCTCAGTGAATTTCGGCCTCTTTGCTGCTGCTGCTGCGAGGTCTGCTGCTGCTGCTGCTGCTGCTGCTGAAGGTTGCCAAAGGGGTTCAGAAGACCTGAGCGGGGTGGGCACTACGGGGCCATCGCTTTGGCTGCTCATAGTTAAAGACAAGCTTTGCTGCTGCTGCTGCTGCTGCTGCTGTTGCTGCTGTTGCTGCTGGCACGCATCTAGAGGCTGCAGCAGCAGCAGCAACAGCTCTTCAAGCGTCAGCAGCAAATCTGGCCCCACAGGGGTTCCGCCTCTTCCAAATAGGCGAACGCGGTGCCTAGCCTCCTGCTGCTGCTGCTGCTGCTGCTGCTGCTGCTGCTGCTGCTTGCGAAG